ATGTATATACATACACATTATACGTATATAATATAATCGAATAAGTCTTGAATTTTCTCCCACTTTCAACAACTGAGCTGGACATTTTTACTGCCCGGATCCAACAAATTCAAACGGAAACAAATAAAAGTGTGAAATTTATTTGACTAGTCTCAGTGCCAGTGGGACTAAAGAAGACTGCTGCTTTGTCACACAAAGTTTAAGAAGTCATGCGGCACTGGTTAAACATTAAAAAAGCAGACGGGGTGTTATTTGTGGTGCATGTTTCTGTAATTTTCTGCATTTTGGGTTACAAAGACCAGACGAAATGCTAAGAAAAATATCACTAATAATGGAATCTACCATGATGTTTTTAACCATTATGTTAAGTCTTAAATCACGACCATGCGTATCAAAGCTCAATTCTGCCCTCTTCTGGATTTCAGATGAGTCAGAGATGATAAAGTGAAAAGTAAATAAATAAATAACAGCAACAATTAAATTTTTTTGTTCCCATTAAACAGCAAAATAAACCAGCAGTAGACTGTCTGAAAAGACTAAGACAGTAACATTTTCACCATGATTTAAGTATGTTGACAGAATCACAAGATTTCCTGCTAATCTATTTAAAATAATCAAAGACAAGCTAATTGATTCTTGACTTTAATCAGTGGGACTTTGATCAGACCACAACAGAATATTTAGAAGCTTTCCTTAATAGATATGTATATTAAAAAAAACAAGATTGATGTGAAAAGCATTGTATTCAAAATGGAATGAAACAATTTAGGTAGATCTGAATAGAAAACAAGAAAGTCCAACATTGATTTAATTTTGTTTTTAAAAGTAATTTGCATAACACTTCTCTAACTTGTTTGCTTCTGCCAAATGGAAGCCTTTTTATTCTATTTTTTAAGAGTCTTAATGCATAATTTTAGCTTCAAACCGTGGGCTGTATAAGTTTAAATTGGCCAGCAAAGTACAAAATGTGTCTTTCATAACAGGAAGACACTGAGTCACCACTGAACCTTTCACTCCCATTCTAATAAATGTTCAATCTTATCAAAACTAAACACAACTGCACTATATTTGTTGAACTTTAGAGTTAAAACTGGTTTCCATAGTTACATGACTTGATTTAGCTGCAAAAACAACTTTATAATACCGTACCAAAGCAGGCCTAAAAGAGGAAATTGGCACCGTTCCTCTTTTTTTTTTAATCTAGCTTAGTGTTCCTCTTTAGCACCTGCATTTTTCAACTACACTTTTTTCTGTTAGGAAATGTGGAACAGAAAAGGCAACAGTTGGTTTTCATGAAAATAGTGTTTTTTTGTTACATTTATTGATTTAGTTTTGCTCGATTTAAAAGATCAGAGGTCACATTCAGTTAAATGCGAACGCCATCAAACATGCTTGAGACAAATACACTTAAACATGGGAAAACAGCCAAACGTTCAATGTGATTCTTGGTTTTTGTCTTTTCTGCTGATTAATATAGTTCCTATTGATATCATCAAATGCTTAAAGCAACTGATGTAATGTATCACAACCTGAAAGAAACGGTGAATGTTTGGTCTGTAAGCTAATCTTTACATGCCGTCACAAAAACCTGACATTTGAAAGAAAATATGTTTCCTGGGAAATCCCATTAAGAAAGCTGAAAATATCAACAGCAAAACAAAAAAAAAGGCACCCAAATAAATGACGTACAGTGAAGTGATAAATAGTCCTGGCTGTGCAAGTACTGAGTCATCATTGTGGCAACACGATGGATCGGTGGTTAGTACTGTTGCCTCACAGCAAGAAGGTCCTAGGTTCAATCCCTGGTTGGACCTGGGCTCTTCCTGTGTGGAGTTTGCATGTTCTTCTCGTGCTTGTGGGGGTTTTCTCCAGGTACTCCGTTTCCCTCCCACAGACCAGAAACATGCACATTAGGCTGCTTCAGGTCCAGGCCTCCCTTGCAAAAGAGATCTCAGTGGGATTTGCCTGGTTAAATAAAGGTCAATAATAATATTTTTTATATATTTTTTTTTTTGCTTCTGTCAGACTTTCTTATAATCTTTTGAAGTGGCTTTGGTCAACAATTCATCTTCTTTTTTCAAGGTATTTCATCGTTTTGGACAACAATTTCATTCATCTCCGCGCACTCATTTTTTGTTTAATTCCCTTTCAGGGAGATATTTTCCTCACATAATGTGTGCTGTAACAGAATGACTCCCAAAGAGCTGTTGCTTGAAAATTTGACCTACAGAAGATGATCAACTGCAGGATGATGCATCTCTTTGGTTCTGTATCAGGTGTTTACTGGATTTCCATAGTTGTTCTCTACTTGTCCACTTTTCTCATTTTTAAGCACACTCTGCTCCATGTGTTGTCATGATCAGAAATAAGGGAAACGGGTCAAAGGAAGACTTGACAAGTTAACGGACCAACAGGGTTGACTAGTTAATGATGACATTTTAAGGAAACATCTCACAGTAGCCCTTGGAGTATGTGTTGTGGATGACTTTAAGGTAAAACCAGACTAAATTAAAATCATTATTTTCTAAATTGACTAAGTTGCAGCCATTGTTGTGTTTTCACAACAATGGTCGTCAGGCTGTTGAGTCCATCCTGAATGGGATTAGCTTCTAAAGTTAATCAATATGATTTCTTGAAAGTTTTGTTCAAATCCGTTCAATAGGTTATGAAATATTTTACTAACACACAGTCTTGACTCAAAATGGTTAATGGGCTTGAGCAATCTGTTAGCACTCCAAATGTGAGCTGGGGTTTGCTCTCAGCTACTACAATACCAAAAGTTAACTCGGTATCTGACAAACTGACTTAGTTATCTAAAAAAGTTAAGTCTGGTCCTCTGGACATTCAAAAAACAAAACAAAAGAAATTAGAAATGTTCGTCTTTCATCTTAGTTATAATATTTTTTGTGTGTTTTCTAAGGTCTGTTGACTGTGGCAGCCATATTGAATTGGGTTGACTCCAGAAATAAACAGTTGTAGCCTACATGTAAATGCATTACTTTCTTCAAGTTTTATTAAAATTCACCCAGTGGTTCATGATATATTTTGCTAACAAATGCACTGACAGACAAAGCAGCAGTTTATCTTCTTTTTTTAAAAGCTAAACTTTATTTACAGATAAACAATATCCACAGGCAGTAATAGTAATATGCTCGAGGTGAGGGAGTAACAAATACAAAAGGATTCATGAAACAAAATAAAAGGATACAAATCAAATTCTTCACAAGTTTCATGGAATTGGTGCAAAGTTTTAAAGAGTCCAAAAAGCAGTTCAGGTAAGTTTTAAAAACAGTCAGGTTGGACGTGTAGCATATTTACTGGCATGTATGTGGAGTTTAGCCAACATAATAAGAAAGTTAATGACACTCTATCCCAAATTTTCTAATATATAATACCAATACAAAAAAATATATATATTTAACATTCAATGTAGCAAGTTTATCACATTTTCTGTTAAAGAAGATAAGGTCACACAAAACGTTTTAGTAACACTGCAGTCCCAGAACAGGTGAGTCAATGTTTCATCTTCAAGATGACAAAAGGATCAATATTTGGAATATATTTAGCCAGTACTGAATTTACAGTAGTAAAATCCCGACAAAAAAAAAAAAAAAAAAAGTATTGACAACAACCGTCTGTTCCCAATCATTATCAGAAAACAGATTGTTCCCAAAAAAGCAGTTTATCTTCTAGAAAGCGCATCTTTGCTGACCGGACGTCACGCGCTCGGCTCCTCCTCTTTATGCAAATCACGCGCGATATCCGGAAATCAACAATCCCGTGACGTTAGAGGAATGTTAGCGCAGCGTCGGAATGAGTGCAGTGCCTTTCTCTGTTTGCTTTGTAAACTTTTTCAGCTGTCTGTCGCTGTCAGCTAACAGTTCAGCTCCATTATCGTCTTTTTAACCATGGAACTAGCAGAGCCGAAGGCCGCCGGAGGATGTATCCTTCCGCTCGGACTTTAACGCTTCCACCGGACCCTAACGGAACGCTTCAGTTAGCCTCGCTGGAGCACGGAGGTCAGATTTATGAGCTACACAAACTTGCTAGCAGGCTAGCTGAAACGTTAATATGTCGCGGTTTGAGTTGGAGGAGTTGTCACGTTTCGGGGACTCCGCGGACAACCAGGAGCTGACGGACATATTAAGCTCGTCTAAGGAGGAGCACTTCAACAGCCTGTCGGATGTTCGTGTGAGCCCAGATGGACGTCACATCCATATCATCCTCCGCAACCCTCAGGTCGGTCTTATGACTTATGACAAATACGAAAGACCCCTGCCGACTCAGAACCGCAAGAAACTGGAGTTGTTTTCTCCACAAACTGTTCCGGTCGTGGATATTTGCTACTTGGATCATTCCAACAACCGCAGCCGAGCGGCGGTCGCTGCAGTGATTTATGAGAATGGAAAAGCAGAGTTTTGGTGCTTTCAGGAGAGCAAGGCTGGCTGGCGTCTCCTGCAGACATCAGATCTGTGCAACAGCCCCCGGGCCAGAGTTGTGTCTGTCTGTGCTCGCTCCAGTTTTATCACCTGGTGTGAGGAGAGACCCCCCTCAGAGAGCTCCACGAGGAACAAGTTAAGGTACTGTGTTTGCAGACGTGACTTTGAGGTCGAGGAAGGGGCTGTCATCTTGGCAGGGGTGAAAATTATCCTTCACAACAATCCTAAATTCGCTGTGATCAGCTCGGGTGAGAACGTGCACCTTCTTCCTGACCTGAAAGCGAAGCCGCTGTCGTGCATCTTTAAATTCTTCCTCACCTGGTGTCCTCATCACGACTCCTTCACTGTCAGCGCCGTGGGTAAAAACACCCCCATCAAAAGGCTTTCATCCAAAGAGTGTGACTTTAAGAAACTGATCACTGACTGTTTAGGATATTTATCGGCTCTGGAGCCACCTGAGATTATCACTTTCGCGCCTACGGACTGTGGAGGTCTGCTGCTTCTCCTCAGCAATGGCTGGCTGTGGCTCCTGCAGAAAGACGGTACAATGAGACAAGTGCACAAACTGCCGGAGAACTGTTTGGTGAAACATGGCACACATGCCAACATATGCGCGTACATAAATGTTGTGGCGCTAATAATGGGGCAAAACCTGCATCTGATAGAGTTGAGTTGTGGCAGGGAACTGCAAAGGATTGTGTTGAAGAGAGGGGGTGTTTTATATGCAAACCAGACCGAAAGGCAAACTCCACATCTGCTCTCAGAAACTGGACTTTTTGTGGTAGTGGACACAAAAACAGACTCCGCAGACTGCAGTTTTAAGCTAAAGCCTCCTGGTTTCAGTATGGTTGAGAGTGTTCATCCTGGTGCCCTCTTGATAGAAGCGGTTTTTGAGGAGGCTTGTAAATACTACCAGCAGAGGAGCCTGAGCAGCACCCAGCTCACCGTGGACACGTTAAAGAAAGGAGGAAGATTCCAGGCTCCCATCTCTTTAGCCTCCATCCTCAGGAGCTTCCTCAGCACGGGTTTGACGAAGAAGGGTGCAGAGCTGCTGCAGAACGGAGAAGGGGAATTTATTGCAGGTCAAGACAAGCTCATGGCCTCTCTGGAGGGCGAGCTCAAGGCCCTCGTTTCTCTGGAGGAGCTGAAGGGGAGTTTAGTGAGGGGAGGCACTAAAGAGGTAGAGGTGGTGTGTGAGACTCTAGTGGAGAAAGAAGTGGTGAGACTGCTGTCATCTTCTGAGTTGGATAAAGAGGAGCTGCTGTACCTTAACTCAATCTTCAGCATCTTCCCCTGCCAAGCATGGAGGGCTGTCCAGGCTGCACTTCAGCTGCACTGCAACGGGGAGGGCTCTCTGTCCAGCAGGGCTCCGTCAGACGTGTGGAAAGCTGTCCTCAGTCATCAGCTGTCCAGCCCTACAGCCTCCCGTTTGCTTCTAAACGGGCAGCCGAAATTCAACCACAGCCGTAAAGGTGATCATACTTCTAAAGGCAAACCCCCCACCTCTCCAGCTGTCCTGCCGGTGTTTGAGCTCCTCTGTCAGTCAGTTCTTCGCTTCCAGCCCACGTGGCTCCCCAGAGTCCTTGAGCTCGCCCAGCAGCAACAAGGCTCCGCGAGTTTGGGTCTGAGCCTCGCTTCTTCCTCCTGGAGTTTTTCCAGTGGGAGAGGAGGGGAGGGCGAGAACAACGTGCCTTTGTATAAACGAGCGCTGTGCGTCTTGTCCGGCATAAGCCGGGACGGAGACCAGCACCGGAACTTGGAGGTGGAGCTGCTGCTGGTCGGTGGACGGCCCAACGCCATCCTGCAGGCTCTGAGGATCCTGATGAACGAGCGGCAGTGGGAGCGGGTCACCCAGGTGGCCCAGCAGTTCTGCAAACAGAGCCCGTTGCTCAACAAGGAGATTTTTACCACGCTGCTCTGCGAGGTGGCTCAGCATAGAGATCTGGACCCTTACCTGGACCTGCTGTGGACACTGTGCCCTGAAGACTTCACCGTCACCACAATCCTTAACTTGGTGCTCAAAAGCCTCCCCTCTCCTAACACTTCATCCCACCCCGCTTCTTTCTCTATGTCCCACACAAACTCCTCGTCTCCTCCTTTTGCAGACCCTCACAGCAGCAGCCAGCTGACCATCGGGCTGTTGAAGCCCCTGCTGAGGAAAGTGCTTCAGAGTGAGACGAAGCCAAGTCAGCGTTACGTTGACATCCTACAATCCCCGTCTTACCCCCCTCCAGCTCTTCCTCGCCAGCCCACAGAGCAGGCGAGCGCCGTCACACACCCGAGCAGAGACTCGTCTCTGTGCAGCAGCGTCACGGCGGCTCTTCGTGCAGAAACACCCGAGCAGCGGCCGTCCACCCACGCCACCATTCAAAGGTCCAGCATTGCACTTTCTGCTGCCCCGCTTGGATTTGATTAAAACTGCACAAACCGAATGTAGAACTCGCGTTCCACACACGGTCTTTACAAAATGTGTGTCGACAATCTTAATGAGAAAAAAATATGAGCGGGTTTCCTCTGTGTATTCTTTACTTGACATATGATGTTTCGGAGCAGACTGTAGAAATATGACTACTAGAAAATTTAACATGACTACTGAACATCCACCCAGTAAATCTACGGCAGGTCAGTTTTAAATCCGATGTGTATATCAGTGGTATTTATCTCTTGAAGGTACTCATTGCAGTGTCATGAAGCACAATCCACACTATTTTTTTTTTTCTTAATTTAATGTGTCCTTAAATATTTCCAAGCAACATTGGTGGCCATCTACCAAATACCACTTTTTTTTTTTAGCAGATTCAGCCCAAATACTTTGTTTACTTTGAGTGTGTACTCACGTTTTATAACTGTATTAATATAAGGGTCTACTGCACCATGTTCAGGATAAAGTTTTTATATTTGATGTACCTCTAAGTGCATGTCAATGAGAATGTTACCGCATTTAGGGAGTTTAACCCCCGACAAGAATGAATAAATAATATTTAATATACTGTTGTAAAAACAGTAAACTAAACCCCTAAATTATTTTCCATGTCGTTAACGTCGTAATAAATGACTGGATAATTTAGCTTCTAAATGCACGTAGATAAGTGTATTCCTGTTTATTCGTATCGGAGTATACACGGCCTACAGTGCTGCTTGGTGGAAAACAAAGTTGATGATGTACAGTTTTGTGAGAGTAAGAAAAGACATGAACGTCTTTATAACGTGGGTCTTTATTTTGAACTTTCTGTTGTGCGTCCGTGCAGAAGTCTGCTGAGAGAATTCAGACGAGCTGCTCTTTGTTTTAAACGACTTTGTGTTTTTTTTAGAGGAGAAGAGGGGTCATGGTTCCTTTGCTGACTTTTAGTTTCACATTTGGCATCTTTTAAGCGTGCTTGAACTTTGACCTTGCATTGATTGATTCCGTTTTAACACCTTATCTTTATGTCGTCTTGTGATTTTTTATTCTTTGAAACCCCGGTCATCGTTTTTCTCTGTAAACGCCCGTCTTCTCTGTTCCTTATCAGCCCAACTCACAGGGCATTCCAGACAAAATTCCCAGTGCAAGTGACTCGCATTGGACTTCAAATTTAATTTCACTGATAATCTTTTGGCGATTCGAGTGTGTGTGAGACGTATTATGACTAGCCCAAGCACCCTGCTGATTGTATAAAGTCACCATTCATCCCGTTCCCCCTCCTTCATGGACTCTAATGTTGTTAGAGATGACAAGCCTTCTGTGTTCTTGCTTATGCACTTGTATCTAACCAGACAGTATTGTTTGAACCACACTTTAGCTTTCTTCCACAGATTTAAGTGCTGCCAACAAAAGTGCCTCTTTGTGTTTTGGTTGTGTTTGTGCCAAGCGATGTGGAGAAATATTCATAATTGATTTTATTTGGGGAAAATCCTTGAAATAACTGTCGAACCTCTTCAAGGGTGAGGTTTAAAAGTCCTTCTATGTTTGTGGTGACAATCAGACTCCAAAATGCTGCAGAACGTTTAGTGCCTCTCGCCTTCATTGACAGGGCGGTGTCACATTTCTGCTGTGTCTCCTCTCATCGCAGAGAGACCCTGAAGTGGATCTTTATACCAGTTCTCTGTATTATTCAATACAGTGTTTAATTGCAGCTAATTCTTGACGTTTAAAGCGTTTTACCTTGAACTGGATTTTTTAATTTCAAGAAGAAACTTCTTTTATGCTTTACTTTAGTCTATCGTTCCGTTGTCTACTCTGAACCGTGAAACCTGCTCAGCTGGGTTCGGATCGCTTCACTTTCACGATGCACTGATTCACTGGGAACCCCCCGACTTCCCCAAACAGAACCTGATTCTATAACTGTCTGTTAAACATTAACCTGCCTTAAATCGTGCTGCACTAAATGTTGTAACTATTTGCTTTTGGCAATGCTTAATCCAGGAAGTATTTTAAAAGAAATCTATGAGTATTTATAAATGCATGCTATTAAAGGAAAGCTTAAACCTCTGTTAGCTGTGTGAGTTTGTAATGTGATGCTGGATTTGAATCCCAACAAGATGAAAGTTTATCTTTTTTTTTTTGGTAAGACTGAAGTTTGCTGCCAAAAGGTGAACGCAGATGGTTATGACTTTTTTTCCGTGTGTTTCTGTTATGAATCACTGGATGAATTTTATGAAACTTGCAGTAAAATAACCTGAAAAAACTCCCAGTTCAAGATGTTAGCTGATCTCATTTTAGTTCCAACACGTTTTTTTTTTTGTTTTTTTTTATCTGAATGTGAATCCAGTGATAGTTTCATTAAAAATAAAATGGGTTCATGTGATATTTTGCTAACAGCGTTGCTTCCACTTGTTTGACACAGCTGTCAGATTATACATTGGTTTGCTGTGGCAGCCATCTCGATCCAAGCGAACTACAAACGGATGAACGCAGACAAAAACTTAATCGCTCTGGTGACGAGCAGTGAATAAATGTGATCTAAACTTTGTTTTAGGTGTCAGCTTGCACAACACCGTCAATAGTCACATCACTGCCACGTTATTATCGCTACCATGCACCGACTGTGAAGTATTTCTGGTTGGTTCAGCTCTTTGTTTCTTTCACTTTGCCGCACAACAACAAGATGAATCACACAAGGTTCAACATAAAACAGCTGAAATAAATAACTTGTTCAGATTTTTACAGCTCGTTAAGTCAAATTTTGCACACATTACTCTCCGCTATCCCCATTTCAGCTATGATTCAATCCACCCAACCCTTCAGTTGTGTGTAATCTAGAGAAAAGATTTAATCAGTTTTTACACGTTCAGCCCTCTAATTAGAGCAGATGCACGTTTGGCGCTCACGTCTTCTTGCTGCATTAGAATTTAAAGCTGGAATCGCAGCAGCGCTACAAAGTTCTGTATCTTTGTTGGACAAGAGTTTTACAGAAACAAAGGGAGGTGCTGAAACCTGCACAACCTGACCTTCTCCCTTTCACTTTCATTGGATTTTTCTTCTCATTTTTTTTATCCTTCACATTGATTTTTCCTGCATCCAGCATCTCCCATTACAAGGTTTCAGGTCAGGCTGGTGCTGTAATGCGGTCGATTCGCTCGCTCTAATTATATCTGGCACTACGGTTCATCTAAACGAGGCGCCGGTTTCTGCCACTTCGACCTCTGCTTGCCTTTGAGCAGCTGGATAATCCAGAGCAGCACGAGAGAGAAGAAGCACTGGGCTCACGTGAAATGCTTGCAGGGTGTAGAATACTTTGAGTGAAGGTGATGAATTTTAAACATTCCAAAATGTTGTTAGTTGATTTGCACGTTGATTGGCAGAGCATTAATTATGCAAACTAGTTCAGGACAGTGATGACAAATGTACTGTTGAAAACGGATAGAGAGTGACGGCTCTGTTATTCTGTTATTGACCAACAATATGTAGCAACTGTTGCTTGTAAACAAAATTAATCGTCACACAGTTTCTTTTTTAATTCATTCATAAAAATATCCACTCAAAATATCAACAAAAAAGCTTCTTAAGTGCATTGTTTTAAATTTTTAATTATAGGCCTCTATTAATATTTAATTATATTAGTCATCATTTTAAAATGTTAAAGGAAAATAAAACCAAAATAGTGTATATCACCCTCCCTCTCAAGCAAATAAATAAATAAAACACTCTGCTGAACCTAGTTTTCCACTAAGGTGGTTCCACTTCACTTCAAGCTCGAGTCTTCTACCAGGGGCCTGGGAGTTTGAGGGTTCTGCGCAGAACCTTAGCTGTTCTAGGACTGTGCAGTTCTAGACATAGATCTCCGAGGCTGTTCCTGGGATCTGTTGGAGCCACACTTTCCAGTCTGGGGCACACCAAGTGCTCAAATGACCACTGGGACTGCTGGCAGCTTGACTCTCCACAACTTCTCTACTTCTTCTTTGAGCTGTTGATTTGCCTCCAGCTTCTCGTGCTCCTGATGTTACAGTCCCTTGGGATTGCTACATCCATCATCACTGTCGTCTTCTGTAGCTTGTCGACCTCCACAATGCTCGACTTGTTAATCATCACCTGTTTGTCAGTTTGGATCTGGAAGTCCTGCAGCAGCCCCTCCATTCACCAACACACTTGGAGGAGTCTCCCACATTGACTGTGGGACCTCCAGTCCACACTCGACATATAAAATACATAATTATGATACAGATACTGTACTTGGAATAGTTTATATATACACGGTACACATATACTGTATGTATATGTATGTATGTATGTATGTATATATATATATATATATATATATATATATATATATATATATATATATATACATACATATTTATACTGTATATATACATGTGTGTGTGTGTGAGATAGATATATATATATACATATATATTTATACATATATACATACATACATATATATACATACATATATATATAATATACATATATACATATATATATAATATATATAATATACATATATATACATACATATATATATATATGTATATATATATACAAGATGATCATTTTTTATTTACATATTTTTTAATATCATAATTTAACATTTTAACAAATAAAAATGTTACTCAGAAAAACCAGTGATTAGTTAAAAAGCAATTAGAGTCTTCTGTAATGAAAAAAAAAATCATTCTCAACAGTATATGATCTGAGTAAACATGCAACTGTGCATGTTTTGTTTTTTTCATTTGGGAACAATTTGTGCCAAGGCAAAAATAAAAGTAATAAATGTTGTGTTACTAAGGTGCTTTTAGAAATGCCTTCATGTTTTGTGAGGATAATAAAATAAAACAGAAAATTCTAGTGATGGGTGTGACAGCTGCACGGCAAAGAACAGACGACTCGCTGAACTTTTGAATAGTTGTCTCTTGTTCATAGTCGGAGAAACAAACAGAAATGTTTAACCTTTTATATTCACATTGAACAAATAGACTGTGTAAAGTGCTGTGTAACAAGAAAACACAATCTACTCCATCATACAAAGTTTTAGAGAAAAAAATAATAACGAG